CAAAACGTAGCTATTTTTTATACTATATGTAGCAATTTCAAGAGTTGACTGGGGTCATGTCTTGGCTGTAGGAAAACAGGACTATCTTTTTACCAATTGCAGATATGTTTTCCACTTTCAGTGTAATAACTACTAAGGTAGCATTTTTAATGGCCCAGATCTCAGGGTTAGTCTGAATGTAATCAGTATTTAAGATAAAACCTTCATTAGCATTCCTAATAAAAAGTGGCAGAGCAGAGAGCAGGTAATCAGCACATTCTAGAAGGTAGTCACATGGGAGGCCATGGATGATAAGTTGGGACTTACCGGGTACAAGTTGCAAGAGCAGGTAGGATTTATTGCCAAAGTGGTATTTCTGACTCAAGGTAGTTATGATAAGGTTAAATTATGGGGAGAAAAATAAGGCAGGTGTAAGGTAGTTGTTGACTAAGAGGGTCAGAGAATCTTTGAAGATGACTGAAAAGGTGAAGAAAAAAAGGCTAGTTGAAGCTGGGATTTCCTACAATGCTTACTGCAATGTCTGAGAAAGTAGCACTCAGTCTGAGTGTATCTGAGTGTGAGGAAAGAGTAGTTCATACTGCAAAAAAATCTCCTCTGTGCAGTTGGGAGACCAGTAGGACCTCTGCCTGTAGGTGTGACAAAAGTAGCTTCAGCTACTCTCACTGCTTAGAATACTGACATTTTAATAGATTTTTTCTTCTTCATTAGGATGGACATGGTTGAATCTTGGAGGTATTGGAAGTGTCAGATTGAGAGAATAGTTGAGATTGAACATGTGTTTGTTGGATTCTGGGCAGTACATTAGAGCATAGAACCAATAGGTGATTGATTATATTTAAAGTTTCTTTATGTGATGCTTCAAGTGTAGCTAGTGGAGAGGACAAAGGTTTGGGTGCAGTTGCAAGTTTTTTGATAAGGATATCCAGTTTTGTGCCAATTGCAACTATTGTTTTAACTAAATAGCAGAGAAGGACAATAACAAGTAGTCCATTATCAATATTTCTGATATGATTATTTGTAATAGCAGTAGTAAGAGGTACAAATTACACTGAGAGATTGTGAAGACAAATATGAGCCTACAATTATGCTGCTATTAAGAAAGTTGGAGTCACTGGCCTGATTGAAGGGAGTAAAGGGCAAACTGCAACTCTGAAGAAAAACTTGATTGGGTGTATTCTGGAGAACACTTTGGAGAAGATGATAGTATCTTCCAAGATGTTCATAGGAATTTCACTGACTGCACAAAAAGGAAATTACTGTATAAATCCCAAATATCTCATACTCTTATGAAGAAAAAAGAAACAAATAGTGGTAATATCAGACTAAAAGTGATCAATAGTTCCAGTTGTTAATTTTTATTGCCAAAGAATTTCCTAAGTTCTACTTAAAAAGTGTGCAGTCTTTCTAAAAAATTTGAGAATTAGCAGTGGATGTTCCCTCTAAGGCTAAACCACTCTCCTTATATAGACCTTCCCACAATCTGCTTACAAATTCAACTGTCATATGAATTATAACTCTGTTTCATATAACTACATAACTCTTTTTGTCCTACTAACCTCTTTCTAGGTCCTGCACATGTCCCCCCATAACCTCTAAACATATTCTATCTATGAAATCTAAGTAAGCCTTACGAGGCTTACCCTGATACTTATTCAACTAATGATCTCAATATAATATAATAATTATGACTCAAAGTCTTCATCATGTGTATAAACAATAGTCATAATATCATACAACTCTAATGAATTAGAAATCAATACCATAACATATGAGATCCTTTACAAGCCATATTGGATTTGTAATATATTTCTTCTTGTAGAATACCTAACAATTGCAAATGCCAGCAAAATATAATCTTTTACCCTTAGCTACAAAATTAACTCTTGAACTTTTAAGCAGGTAAATACAATTATAAAATATTATAAAAAAATCAAAAATCTTTTTAGACAATAAACCCACATTTCATGTATTCATTAGAATAATTCTTTTTTCATTTAAGAGAAAGTCTTAAAAACATATTAGAAAGAGAAAATGTGCTTAGTATACAAAACAGTATTTTCATAACATGCTAAATTAGATAACGTCCCTGATGTAGAAGCAGATCACAATAGGGAAACAAGCCACCTCAATATAATTAAATAACTTATCAAATAACAAAGATACCAGGACAACCAAAAGAGAAATGGAAAGAAGAATAAAATATTTGTGATCTAAGCCTGTCCATGAGAATGAGGTACATACCGTGCCAACTTAGGTCTAGACAATATAGCCCGAGCC